AGCTCAAGCTTAGATTGACTTGATAATAATCGGTCCTGACAAGGTTTCGTACTGGATGGCCTTAATGGCAAGTAGCTTGGACTTTAGAATCTGTAACCTTAACCGATTTTTACCCCATTGTCTGATTGAGAAGAAATGCATCAAATCATTCCTCTTTTGTTGCTTTAGCACTAGAATTTAGGACAACGGATTATATACTCACTGAATGTAAACAGCTGCTTGGTCCAGCTGTATATTCACCTCTTAGATCATCATCTAGGACTGATTCAACAATGAAAAACATTCGTAAAATCAACGTTATTCAATCAGGAAACGGTAAATGGGCTTGAATACCTTCATCGATGAGAATCTGGTAGAATTGGTGTGATCGCACACATTTTAGCAATTCAAAGTAATGCAAAAGTCAGAATTAGCTGCAAAGCGGAAAGTACGCAACAATCGCGTCATAGTACTCTCTCAGCAAGCAAATTCTAATAGGGAATCTTTCCAATATGGGGAAGCAATATATTCAAATCAGCAGAGCCTACCTCTGCCCAACAGATATGTGGATCACTGTATGTTTTTGTCTTCTTACTCCCAGAAAAACATAGAGGAGATATCTTTCAGCAGAAGTGGTTCTGGTATTTGCAGTAATAGACCCTATGCTTCTTTTCTGTTTCTCTTGCCACTTGAGCGGTTGGTCTGCTATTTCAGGCTGTTTTTCACTGCTCACTCACGGCTATAACATAGCATACTCGATATTATCATATCCTTCAAAGAAGTTTATTCAATCACTTTATGATTTATTATTATGGTAATGGTTAATAATTTGATATCGTGCAGTTTCAAGGTAGTTTAGGATTTGAGACAACCTCCATGTTTTGTTGAGTAGCAATGTTGGAAATGGAGCTGTTCACTCGAGTTTTGGGTCAAGGTTATTAAGAGGGAATACTGTTGAAATCTGTGGAGAAGTGAAGTAAGAGGGGAAGGTAGAGGATTGGAAGCAAAGTTTAATTTTAGAAATTTGACAGGTATAAATATGTGTCATCTTGCTCATTGCTCTTTATCACTTCTTTTGAGTTGTCATAACGTCTGTGGAACTCTTAATCTAACGGTCCTTGTGTACTTAATTAATTAATCTAACAGTCTTTATTTACATAGATTGAAAAAATACAGTTTTCATCTCAGTGTAATTCAACTTTTTTGGAATTGTCATTGATCCTTTGAGCTCCACGTTAGGTAATGAAGTTTGATTTTGCGAATGAAGCGGATTGTACACCGACAAGTTAATTCCAATGGCGCCAGTGTTATGCATTAAAGAATAGAATTTTTACCTTTGATATATCATAAGCGAGTTATGCAGTTTTAGAAATCTTTTTCAAGCTTTTTGATATGAACTATATACTGTTAAAGGAAGAACCGAAGCATTTTCGGTAGAAGTGGAGTCAAAATTCTCAGCTTAAATCTCGTCAGTAATGAAGTTTTTCATGAATCTGACGTCGTTACACTAGTTTGTTGATGGATTGAATGTCCTTATCACCAGTTCAAGATTCTTCACCAAATTGTTTCTCCCTTAAATTTTACTGATTGCAATGTTATTTTTTCCATCTCATCCGCATTTGTGGCACACCCGTGGAGCCTTGCAAACGTCTCTGTTTGCTCA